GGTTCAATCCCCCAGCACCACATGCCAGCCAGCCCCGCCCCCTGGTGGGCTGAGCTGGCCACACACACACAAAATAAATAAATTAATTAAAAAAAAAAAAGTTACTTATTTCAATTTCCCACTAACCCCTAAGTTAAGGGCATATTGAGGCAGGATTGATTTTTATAGGAATTTGGAACTGGGTTGAGCATATTTATGCTACTTTTAGGTACCTGGGAAACTCCTGGATGTGACATCAGATCCTTGACCATACTGATAGCCTACAGGACCAGAGTCCACTTCAACTTCAATTTGAGCTTGTTCCTCAGATTGCGAAATGTGGCTGGAAGAATCAGATGTGCATGCTTCTTGTTTGCTTGACTTAAAATGAACAACTTCAGAAGGCTGCGATAATCTCAAATGTTTGGCCTTTTTGATAGAATCTTTCCTTTGTTCCTGCTTGGCCAAAGGAGGCTGAGTACTCCTCTGGGAGGCTGGGTTATAATTATATTTACTCCACGACTTCCCACTTATGCCACCCGCTCCTGGGTCTGGGCTGAGGTGAGAATGTGGAGAACCGCTTTCTTCTTGCCAGCTGCCACTGTAAAACGAGGGACGTTCAGTACCATTGGAACTGACATCCTTATCTGAGAGGCTGAAATAGCGATCTTTTTCCTTCTCACTAATGTCAAGGGAAGATTTAATAAAAGTCTTACATACACCAATAACATCAGTCATCTGAAGGAAGCTGGCAGCAGACATCACTTCGATGACATTCTGCCCAGTGAGTGACAGTTTGCCAGAATAGACAAAGTCCAGGATAACCGTGAAAGTGTCAGGGGAGAACGCCTGAAATGTGGCTGTGGTTGGCTGACTCGTCTCCTTTGAATTCTGAGCGAGAAGCATTTTGAAGTAGCCACTACTAGCAAATAACACATTTCGATGTGCTTTGAAGACCTTTCCTTCAACCAGAATACTGCAGTCACAAAACACGTCTTGCCGGCGCTGCTCGTTCAGCTGTTCCAGCAGGTGAGACTGATGCGAGGAGATCTCCATTCTAGAGGGAAAGACACGCGTGGATGGATGCCAATGACTAAATATCAACCCCTTTCCAGGACGTGGCGAGGAAGACAATAATCCAAAGCCCTCACCCCCATCAAAACCACTTTTTTCTTCTTGGAGAATAAAGTCCTTAAGACACAGAAGATAGACAATAGGTTTCGCTCATCATTTAATATTATATATTATTAGTTATTAGGTTTTTAGAAAATTTCCAGCAGCCAACTTTATTGAGCCTTCTTTTGTAGGCTAACCTAAGCAGTTATGATCTCGAACCCAAGCCAGGCAGTAAGTCCTGAGTCAATGAAGTCAAAGTCACTCCCTTTTATATAAGTGGCTCATTGCCAGGAATGTATAAACATAACCAACATCTCCTATCTTAAAAACAAACAAGCAAACAAAGGCCTCAATCTCACATCTACTTTTTTAATCAGTTTTTTTTTTTTTGGGCGGAACCGGGGATTGAACTCAGGCCCTTGCACTTGCCAGGGAAGCGCTTACTCTACTGAGCCATCTCCCCGGCCACCCTCACACCTGCTTTTTGATTACTACTTGTATTTCTCTCTCCCATACACAAAATTCACTGAAAGAACTTCGTTTTCATATATATATATATATATCTGTATGCCAGGGCCGGGGAGATGGCTCAGTGGAATAAGCGCTTCCCTGGCAAGTGCCAGGGCCTGAGTTCAATCCCCGGTTCCGCAAAAAA